TACTCGCCGAGTCAACCCTGTGACTCGTCGAGTTCCCATAATCAAAACTTTATTCAATCTGCGACCTAACTCGCCGAGTCACCCCAAGACTCGCCGAGTCCAACAACTCTGAGTCCACTCGCACACGACTCACCGAGTCATCCCTCGACTCACCGATTCTCGACTCAACCAGAGAATATTTGGGACTCTTCGACAAGACTCACCGAGTCCAAATGGACTCGTCGAGTCCAAATGGACTCGTCGAGTCCAAGGCTGTCTTCAACCTACTCGCCGAGTTGTTCTTCCAACTCGTCGAGTTCCAGACCATCTTCAAGCAACTCGTCGAGTCGCCCCATGTGACTCGCCGAGTACCACCGTTCTGAATCCATTCAGAAGCACTCCAGGCCATGCAATTGATCCAAAACATAGATCTAGCCTCCTACAACCCATCCATCACGTAAAGTGGCAAACTTTACGTGAATCCAAAGAGATCTAAGCCGTTTGCACATTGGGGCTAGGGTTTGGGACATGTAAGCTTCACTAAACACTCCAACACAGGGACTTTCATGCTCTCTGATTCTTCCCCCTTCCAGATCTGAGGTAGCAACCTCAGATCTAACCTCTAGACTTCCCATTTCATCCATAGACAATTTCTCACAAACCCCAAAATGAAGAAACAACATAACAACAGGTCAATAACGAGATATTACCTCTAAGTGATGCCCGAACTGCAATGAAATTCGAATCCAAGCAAATCCCCTTGCTCCAAGCCTTCAATCTTCCCAAAATTCCTTCAACCATTACTTCTCCAAGCTCCAATCCACTCAACAATGGTGCTTCTCCGTGATTTAGGGTTTTCTGGGGCTCAAGGGGTGATGAAGAGGCTGGGAGGAAAACATAGTGATCTTTATATAAGGCTCAACCCCGAGAATTAGGGTTTTCTCCACTCAGCGCCTACTCGCCGAGTCCATTACACTGACTCGCCGAGTTGGCCACTTAACACGCGACCAGGTCGCGACTCTACTCGCCAAGTCCGCACATGGACTCGCCGAGTCACTCTTTCCCAATTTACTCTTTTAGCCCTTCAACTCTACTCTTGATATTTCGGGATGTTACATGGACCATGTCCCTCTCGGGACAACGACTGGTACAAAAAGCGTTGCGACAACTGCCAACGATCTGCTGCTAGCAATATGGTCCTTAGCCCCATGATAATCTGGAGCTCCACGAGCTTTGAGCTCCCGAAACATCGACGTGAGCATCCCTATCATGGACGCCATCTCGGGGCGGAATGCACCCAGCCTCTCATCTCAAATCTCAAAAATTCCCTCCTTGATCATACCGAAGATCACAAGATTCTGGTCAATGATATTGTGTGTAATCTTAGATGAGGTGAAATCCCTCATTTGACCATCAAGCTGCCCGGCTCCAGAGTCTAAGCATGATCCCTCACCGACACCAGAACTACCATCTGCTCTACCACGTAGCATCACCATACTTGGAAATATACCATAACAATCATCAAAATACTCATCATAACTCAAGGTATCTTACAAACTACAACTTCCATGGGTTCATCTCACCCTTCCTTTATTCGAGTACGGATGCTCTGCTTTCAATAGTAGGGGACCATACTACCTTCCACATATATGTATACTTTCCTCAAGTACTGCTTTGACTCCACCAAGTCCCTTTTTACTACTACTGCTTCGTGCGCTAATCTCATCCTAGGCTTGCCCTAGGGTAATCTCCGAACCACTCTCCACCATCAGTTGCATAAGAAGTCCCTGCTACCTTCCCCTAACTAGCTCGCGTATACCATTACATATTACTAAGACCAAATAATTATTCGAATGAGAGGTATTTCCTCACAACGGTTATACTCAAACGAGAGTTGTGAAATAAGGCTAAACCTAGCCTTCTGAAATTATTTATTCCCCATAATATGTAACTTAGATATTTATTTATTAGTTAGTTAAAGATATCTAGAACTCCTAAATGCATAAAGCAAGCAACATTCAAGCATTGAGTAACCATAATGAAACATATCCTAATCCGGCCATCATATTACTGACTAATTAGTACTAGCATGCATTTCAATAAGCTCATACAATCGGCATATAAGGAATCCTTCCTAGATCCTTAGCCCTAATCTAGCATGCAGTTCTCATACAAATATAGCAGGCATACAAGGGATATTTCCTAGATCCTTAGTCCCTAATCTAGCATGCAGTTCTCATACACATACAGTAGGCATACAAGGCATCCTTCCTAGATCCTTAGCCCCTAATCTAGTATGCAGTGCCGATAAGCATAACATATAATATCATAACAAACATATATGGGTAATTTGGAAGAACTTACTTGAGCTCGGTTGATTGAATGCACCACATGCTTTTCTCTTTTCAAAATCCTTTTTATAAAAAATGCTTTTCATTTGAAAATTTTCATACCACGTCCTCAGTTTGAGTTCAGACACACCAGAGAGTGTGCCTGAATCCCTCAAACCAAGGCTTTGATACCAACTTGTAACATCCCAAAAATTATGACCACAAAATTTCACTTTTATTTATTAAAATAACCATACTTATCAAAATCATTTCATCCAAAAACATAAGTCAAAGTATCAATCAAAGCATCTCATCAAAACTCATATCAATATATAAGAGTAAAAAAAACATCGTTGGCTAAACAAATGGTGTGTGCACTACAATCATCCCGAACTCTTCCCTTTACTACCAAAGTACCTGAAACCAAAACTGAAAACTGTAAGCACGAAGCTTAGTGAGTCTCCCCAGACTACCACATACCATACCCATAATCTTGTTACTAAGAGATACCAGCACTACCCACACTCGACTAACTAGGAGATACGGGTCCCACTAACACTCTGTTGACTACGAGATATGGGCACCGCCTGCACTCATCTCACAATGAAATACGGGCCCCACCCACACTCGGCTAACTATGAGATACGGGCCCCACCTACACTCGGCTAACTATAAGATACGGACCCCGCCCATACTCAACTACTAATCATATATACAAGTATCACATAAACATAAAGTATAGTCAAATCTATCAGACAGTCCTATATACATACCCAAATAATGCTATGAGATACGAGCCCTGCCCACACTCAGCTAATAATGAGATACGGGCCTCACCCACACTCAATGAGATACGGGCCCTGTCGACACTTAGGTAACTAGGAGATACGGGCCCCGCCCATGCTCCGCTGACTATGAGATACCAGACTCGCCCATACTCACATTTCTAATAACACATACAAGTACCACACAGACAACAAGTATAGCAATCCATCCATCTGACTGATATCTACACTCAGGTAATAATGAGATACGGGCCCCGCCCATACTCCATGTTCCTATCAAGAACATACAAACTACACGAGCCGACGTTGGTGCCTTCGACCTATTCAAACCATGAGGAAACTCACCTCGCACCGCAGACGATCCCTGGCTACTAGCTACTGGTTGTTGGCTGATAGATTCCTGAACTGTCAACATCAAAATAAAACCCAATTAACCATTTGGGTTTCAATGCATCACCATAAATACATGATTTGGGTTAAAAGACCATTTTACCCCTAACATAGCTTGGTCCAAGACCAAGGCCCAACTCATAGGCCGAAGGCCTAATAGCCAATTAATCAACCAAGGCCTAATTATGGCCTAATTTTCAAAATTGGGCCCAAACACCTTACATGGGCCTTACCCTAAGGCCGATCCAAATATAATAGTCGATATACTTGTTCTCAAATGACCCAATAAAAATCCAAAAACTTAAACCCAAAAGAAAGGCCCAACTTGAAGCCCAATCATAATTATGATTTTCACATAAAATGATGATTAGGGTTAAGTGTTCTTACTTAACCCATTAAGGACTTAAACCATTAAGTCCATCACCCCACTAGGCTTCTCATCCAATGTGTTCGGACATAATTCCAAATTCCAGTCTAATAGTCCAAACACGGGTCCCAACAAGTCCCAACAACAGTTTCTAGGATTAGATTTTTCTAAACCCAAATTAGGGTTTCCAACCAAACATAAGTCAATTAGTCCCAATGGTTATGTTTTTGGCTGATATAAGCTTCACTAGGCCAGGCACCACCCACTGCCACCTCAGCAAGTGGTGGCCGATAGCTGCTCACGGCGGCAACCACCAGTTCACGGTGGTGGTGGGGGTTTCCCTTGGTTTTTCTCCGGCCAAAACACCCAATGAACATCCCAATCATATAGGAAACGCACTCATACACATCTAATGACACACATACAACCACCCACACGGTGATAGGAGGTAGCAAGCGGTGGCATCCAACACCTCACGGTGGAGGCGATGGGTTTTCCAACCAAAAATCGTACCTACATCCCAACAAATAAATCCACCAGCATGTTCCTTCGAACATACATCCTTACATCCACAGTGTAGGCGGCAGGCATCACCAGAAAAGAAGAAAACAACGTCCCCATGGCCACCGGCGACGGTAATAACGTCTCCAACATCATATTCACAGCAAATAATGAGGAAGAGAGGAAATGTGGATTGCAGTTGGACTTACCAAGTGTTTCCCGTTGTTCACAACGACACGCAAGGATGAACATCACCCATTACTCAGTCTTCGACAGTCTTCTTAGTTGCCTATGACACCACCGACATCAAGGTTTGTTGTGGAGGCATAAGCGACAATGTAACAGGTGGTAGGGTGGTGGTGGGGCTCATAACTATGGATGTCAATAGGGCGGGGATTACCATCCTTGTCCCCGTCCCCGAGTCCATAACCTCATCCTCATCCCCATCCCTATCTCTGACCGATGCGGGGAATTTATTCCTCTCCCCTTTAAATTTGGGCTTATCCCCGACACATCCCCGTTCTATGTTCATAATAAATCAACTTACACAAAAAATAACTTCAACTTTAATAAGCTATCAAAACCAGATGCCATAATTAGATTGTGTTAACATCAATCATAAAGTTAAACAACCATCAAAATGAGAATATGATTACATAAAAGAAATTTCAATATTTTGTTCTATTTGTTTGCTTGAAAATTACTCAACATCATCATCATATGCAACTGTCTGATCAAAAGCCTTTGGTTCTCCTTGCTTTTTACCTGAAACATATAACACTTATTTTTGGAAAAACTAATATTTATACACATGAATGATATAACAATTGATATATTTATTAAAAATTTACCTTGAAGTTCCTTTCATAACCAACTTTGGCTACACATTAATGCCCCTACTGTTTCTGGTTTTAGTCGGTTACGTTGTTTTGTCACCCTATTCCCGCTCATGCTAAAAGCTGATTCTGAAGCAAATGTAGAAATTGGAATCGCTAAGATATCTATAGTAATCTTTTGTAAAATATAGGAAACTTAGAACCATTTCACTTCCAACACATTAATATATCAAAACCTTCTTCATTCGGTAACAACTTCTCAGCTAAATAATCATCCAACTCAGTTTTTTCAAATCCATCATCCTCGGAAAGCATATTCTCGAAATCCAACTCCTATGTTGATTTGCTTAAAGTAGAACCCCCTCCCTCAGAGACGTTTGTTGCACATTTTCGTTTCCAAGAATCTCCTCATTTATCATCATGTTTCTTTTTAAACTCTTCAAATAACTCAGTAATTATGTTACGTATTTTGATAATCTCACTTCTTGCTTCTTCCCCATATAACTTTGGAAAGAAATAATTGATCAAATTTAACTTATACCTAGGATCCAAGAAAATTGCTACACTCATAACATTATGTATTACATCCTAATACTTCTCAAATTTGATCAACATAGATGATGCCATAGACTTAATAACACTATTATAAGATCCTTTCCAACTCAATAATGATAGTTTCATATCACTAATCAAAGGGAAGAAAATGTTTGATGTGGGATATTTGGTACCAGAAAATTTTTCAGTCACTTGATAAAACAATTTCAATTTTTCACAAACATTTGATCCCATATTCCATTCATCTTCACTAGGCAAGCAAACATAAGGTTTATCTTTTTTGCTCAAACCGTTAAAAACTTCTCTATACTCCAAAGCAACACTCAACATCATATAAATGGAATTTCACCTTGTTTTGTAATCAATAAGTAACTCCTTTTGGTAATTAACACCTACTATCCAAGCAAAAAGTCTAAACTCTTGTATTCTTTTAGGAGAACTTGTCCAAAAGGAGACACTATTCCTAACATTCTCAATTGCATTGGCAATCCCAGAAAATCTATCTTGTACAATAAAATTAATTATGTGTGCACAACATCCCATATGAAATATTCTCCCTTTCAAAATTAGCGATGAAGTAGTAAGCGTACCTAGAAGCTTGTCGAGGATGGCATAATTTTTTAACAATTGTCAAGTTTTAATGTTGACAACTTATTATCAATGTTCCACTCCAAAAAACATTACATCATAGCTTGTGATAATACATCAGTAGTGTGTGGAGATGGCACATGTATAAAGCTGCATTAAACAAAATATAACACTTCAAAACTTCATCCAATATAAATTACAAATAATAATGTTAATTATAGTAAATACCTCATAATTTGATTTTGTAACTTCGAGTTGCCATCTATATAATGTGTCGTGATTACCATGTAACCTTTTTTTTTGGTTACTTGCAATCCACATATCAGATGTGAGAGCAATCCTACTATCATTCTCGTCAAAATATTTCAAAATATGAATTTTTTTTTATCCTCATATACCTTCATTATATCATCCTTGATTGTATTATGACAAGGCACCTTAAATAAAGGTTGAAGACTTTCAGTATACTTTTGAAAACCTTAATGCTCAACAATGGAGAGCGGATAATCATGAACTATAATCCTCTTTTCTAGTTCATCTCTAGATACTTCGGCATCAAAGGAATATTTACTCATATAAGCTTTAACATCAATAGTTTTTTACCCATGAACTAATATATGTTGCCTAATGTCCCTTGTGTTTTTCCTAAGGCTTATCCTGTAATGATCTTTCAAATGTGTTGTTTCATCATTAGATCTACCAGTCAATTGTTTACTGCAGTATTTGCATTTCGTCCATCTGCGAACACCATCAATATAAATTGGAATGAAATGGTTCAAAGCAGTAAATTTCAACCTTTTATTGGGATGCTCAGTAGCAGTATAGTTTTCTATAAGTCCCGGTTCATTATCATGTTCATGTTCATCGTTCATGGCTGGTTGTTTATCATTTTCTAAAGTAGCCATCTATAACTACAAAAAAATACACAATTCGTATTAGTGCATCACTTTATCAAACAAAAAGTAATTGTTAGAATAGGTTGTTTTCATTATGTATTCTATAACCATATTCAATAAATATTCAAACAAAAAACGTAATCTAAATAACTCTCTGTTATATAAAAAAAAGGTATTCTATAACCATTGAACCACATTCATGAACGATTAAATAATGATGGAGAAGTAAACATGAATACATATGGGATAATGACGTTTTCAATTTTTGTTCCAATAATGTGATATAAATCATTTGATGACGTTCTCAATATTGACAATAGCCTAGTAGGTTTGATTAATTATTCAAAAGAATCACAAGCATTTGATGAGGTTGTGCATTAAATATTAATCATAATAATCACAAGAAAATACCATAATAATAACCACTAACGTTTAGAATAACCACAGAAAGCATACCTACTTCGGATTCCCTGATAGGGATGCACGACAACACGAGTGAGACGGAGGCAGAAAACCAAAAACGAGGTGAAATAACAGCCAAATTAGAGTTAGCAATTTAGGATTAGATTACTAATTTGATCGGGCAATTACTTATCAGTAGTGGACTCTATGGACTATGGATTGCAACACTTGACGAATAAATTTATGGGCTACATTATAATCAATTATATATATATATATATATATATATATATATATATATATATATATATATATATATATATATATATATATATATATATATATATATAATCAAAATGGGTGCGAGGCGGGTTGGGGATTGATATATCCAAACCCGGCCCTTCCCCGGATTTATTCTAGCGGAGATCCCCAACCCCATACTTGAGACCCGTTTTTGCGGGGAATACCCATTCCCAATCAGGGCGGGTCAACCGGGTTCCCCATTGGGTCGAGGCAAATTACCATCCCTACTCATAACCTTCAACGTTACCGACAAAGAATGTAGAGGCAGTTGTGTAGGCTTCTCAGGTGGTAGTTGTTCATAAGGCATCTAGGTTTAGGGTTTCCTCAAGAAAACGAGGGGGAAAAGGTTACCTGGATTAATCTGGTTCCATGTTCAAACATAACTCATTTTTTCATGTTTGGTCCTCCTCCACCATAAGCTTTTCAAATTAACTACAAAACTTACCAAACAACCCCATCTTTAATAATTTATTACAATTCAAGTCTGACAGTTACCATTTAAACCTCAAATAAAAAAAATGTAGCTTTTAACACCCCAATGTGCACACCCCATTAATTAGTACGACTTAAGGCTAAAATACAATACTTAAATATACGTCTTTGGTTCTAGGGTTCATTATTTATTTATTTATTTATTTTTAAAATGGACTGTTACATTCGGGTTTTAGGAGGTTTAGGGGCTGGTAAAGAGGCCAACCCTAAAGACATAAGTTGCTTAAATAGGGTATCCTTACTGAAAATTTCGGGTTTTAGCACCGCTCGTACGCCCAGCATACGAGGTCGAGGCTTTGCGATCATTCCTTATGGGTATGCTAAGCGTACACCAATGTACGCCCTGCGTATTGCCCTTCATATTAGTATGCCTTGCGTACTCCATATGTACGCCCCGTGTATTAGAGTTTCCTCTTAGACCCTAAAATACTCCAAAGTCCATAACTTCTTCGTTATAAATCCAATTTCGACGATCCTTATATCCATGAAAAGATAACGAGAACAAGCTCTACACTTTTATCAACTCATACTTGCCATAAAATTTTGCAAAAAAATCCAATTTCCATAAAAGCCTGTGTTTCCATTTTACCAAAATACCCCTTGGCTCCAAAACAAAAATTGAACACCCGAATCATGTACTTTACATCACCTGCACCCAAATGGGTAACGATTACGGACAGGGCATTACAACTCTCCCCCACTTAAATTAGATTTCGTTGTCAAGATCATTACTTATCATTCCAGCACACCATACATCTTGAACTACACAATCACCATCCTTACGCGTACCACAACCTTACCAAAGGCAACTGAACCCAACCCTAGCAGAACTCTCCAAACCCGATGAAGAAAGAATCCTTAATCCCATGTAGAAAATCACTTTTACCTTCCCCGAAACATGAAATCTGAAATCGTTCTGACTCCCCGAAAGAGCGCCACACTGAACCACTACCATTCCAAAGCCTCACTGAATTACAGACCAAACAAAATGCTTCCAACCCTTTATTATCTTGATGCTTCCATTGGGAACAAACACTTATACTTGATAGAAGGTTCAGATAATCCTTCGAGTAGAAGATTCATCCTTGCAACGGTTAGACTCAGACGAGAGCTGTGCAATAGGGTCAAATCAATTACTCTGAGATTATTTAATCAAAATTGAAAATGATGTAGCATATTCCCCGAATAACAAGCTACTCCACGCACGAATTCTAAATCATTAATGCCACCAGAATCATCTTGTTGCTCCATAGCTGCTTTCCGAAAGCAACAGAGACCCCCCCCCCCCGCCCCGAGATGCCAACTTACCTGCCAACTCACTGATTCACTGGATTACCTTCTGGTTGTTAAGTCTAAAGACACACATAGTCGCCCCACGCGAATTCCAAAAGAAAGTCTCATCTAGCAGTAATTGCCCAAGCTATCTCGCCACCAATGGCTCCAACCAATCATATCAGGCCGAAAAACTTGATGCCACCAAATCCAATGCTAAAAGTGAATGCTACATGACCAACTGTTGTCTTATATCGCACTCGGTTTCCAACGACCTACCGCTTTCCTAGTTCCATGAATGTTGTGACCTTCCCAAAATTATTCAAACCAACAAACGCTGGTCAAATCCATCCAAAGAAACCCATAACCAGTCCTGCATTTGCCACACCCTCTTCGCTGTACAAGGATTGGTGAATGCTACGGGACACCCCGCAGTCTTACAACACTCCTACATTATCTACCAACCTAGTGAATGCTACAGGTCACCCACAGTCTTACAATATTCACATGCTATCTACCAACCCATTGAATGCTACAAGTCACCCCATAGTCTTACAATACTCCTACGCTATCTGCCAACCAAGTGAATGCTACAAGCCACCCCACATTCTTACAGCACTCCTACGCTATATGCTAAACAAGTGAATACTACGAGCCACCTCGCAGTCTTACAACACTCTTATCTTGTTGTGGCCACTGCCCATTGTATTAGCGCTCATCTATCAATCCCTACATACTCTTGCTGAGTCAAACACGCCCCAGACTATGTGCTAAACTAAGGCTTGGGTCATGCTCGGAACCCCAACC